GGGGGCTGGCTACTTCCTGCGGGAAGTGGAGTGACCCGGCCCCAGCCTGCTCCACTCCCCTGGCACGTCTGGGAGTCAGGGGAGTGGAGCAGGCTGGGGCCGGGTCGCTCCACTTCCCACATGAAGTGGCCAGCCCCCCTCCCCCTCTTCCCCCATGGAGGCCTGGGACCAGCCCCCCACCCCACCCCCCGTGGAGCCTGGGGCGGGGCCCCACACAGCCCCTCCGCAGAGGCCTGGGCCCCCTCTTTCCCCCGTGGAGGCCTGGGGCCCCACACAGCCCCCCTGCAGGTGTTCACAGAGCAGCGCAGCCCAGCCCCCTGCAGCGCGACAAGCCCTGGGCTGGGCCAGCGTGGCCCTGGCAGGGGAGAGTTATGCCGCGGTGTGGCTGAGCTCACCGGAGCTGAGCTGACTCCATACAAGTCTCTGGGCATAGATTGCTCGGGCTAAGCCCAGTGCAGACCGCCCACTGAGAAGCCAGCAGGAGGCTAGTGCCTGCAGCCCAGCCCTGCCTGTTCCCATGTGGCCCCATGCCTTCCCTTCACCTTGGCCAGGGGCTGGCAAATGTTAATTCATTGACACGACTGGGTCCCCAGCTGGGCTAGCCCCTCTGCTTGTTGCACTCTGATCTGCATAACCGGGGTCAATCCAGACTGGCCCCTGGCCTGACCCCACTGCTCCCCGCCCCGTCCCCAGCCAGTGTCGCTGGTTCCAAGGAGAGATCCAGCTATGGACACAGCCGCTGTGCATGGCCCTGCCTGAGCTGGCAGGCAGTGCAAGCCAGTGGTTAGTGCAAGGGGCATGGGAGTACAGACTCCTGTGTTCCTCTCCTGTCTGTCACATCCCCTTACTGTGCCTCAGTTTCCCCACCTCTACAAGGGGGTGACGGTACCTTCCTCAAAGGGCTTCAGTCCAGTCCGTGCAGTACTTGGAGATCCTCAGGTGAAAGGTGCCAGAGGTGGGTGCAGGGCTTTGCAAAGGGCCGTGACTGCTTCAAGCTGTGCTGGAGTGCCCCACAGGCATGGGTCACCTCTCCCCATGTCAGGATGCCCGGCTGAGAGGCCACGCTCCAGCCCCTCTGGCATGGTGCAGGCACCCCAGCAGTGCCCCTCCAATGCTGAGCATTCTCTGGTTGGACAGATGCTCACTCCCCCATAGCATCAGGCCCTCAGACCCCATCAGCCCTGCCCAGCCCCAATCTCTGCCCCATGGCTAGCAGCTGGCACCACGTAATGGGGCAGAGTCATCGACGAATTCCTCCTCTCCACCCAGCCCCCTGGCGCTCTGATGGGGCTCCAACTGGAGGAGGCCCTGAGCCCAATGCCCAGCATTGGTGGCACACAGGGCTCCCTAGTGGGAGATGTGTGTGAGCAGTAACCCATGGGACCCAGCTAAGCAGGGGACTCCGGTGCTCTGGTGAACGCTGTAGAGGGAGCAGCCCTCAGGATGGGGGCACCTGCCCATTGCTGGGTTGGCTCCAGCTCCAATTTGGTTTTGCCCTTGGTCCAAGTCCAACCCCCCCCCCGCCCCAGCGTGGGCCCCTGTGGAGGGGGGAAGGTGGTAGTGCCCCGCGGGGAGTCAGGGCTTCCCAGGACTGTCTGGCTGATGGGATCAAATCTTTTCCAGTCGCTGATTGTTCCTGGGAAGAGCCCGACACGGAAGAAATCCGGCCCCTTCAGCCCCCGGAGGAGCAGCGCCATCGGCATCGAGAACATCCAGGAGGTGCAGGAGAAAAGGTGGGTGAAGCCGTGGCAGGGGAGGAGCGGGGGCACCAAGACCTGCAAGAGAGAGCACCAGCTCCATTCACCCCCCACCCCCAGGAAGAGACAGCTGGGGCCCGCCTGCCCTGCCCCAGCCCCGTTGTGCTGCACCCGTGCCAATGGGAGGCAGCCTGCTGAGTGACAGGGCACAGCAGGGGCAAGGAGCAGAGCCCCAAGCAGTGATGGGGAGGAGGAGGGAGGGGCCACCCCAGTGAGCACAGAGAACCTCCCCCGTGGCACCTCACTACGCGGCTCCGTCTCTCCAAGGCTGCTCCCAGCAGATACGCCTGGCCCCTGGTCAGACTGCCAGGGGCAGGGCGGGCTGGGCATGTGCTCTCCCCATGAGGGCAGCTTCCCGCAATTCACCCTGATTTCAGCCTGGCTTAGACCCCAAGGGAGTGGGGATGCTGCCAAGCAGCAGTAGCTCCCACACTGCCAGGCCCAGCCACCCCGGGGTTTGCCCTGCACCACGGCTGGCACTGAGCTCAGGGGAGACCAGGACAGGGACACCAGTCACCAATCCAGCACTGCCGTGCTATGAGCTGGAAAATCTTGGTGCCCCCGGGAGGCAGCTGGAGCTGAGAGCTGCCCAGCAGTGAGCATGGCTCCCCCTGCCCTGGTCCAAGCATGTCGCTGGTGCCTCTCACAGGGAGAACCCAGCAGGCCCCCAGAAGACGCCTGACAGCGGCCACGTGTCCCAGGAGCCCAAGTCGGAGAACTCATCCAACCAGAGCTCTCCAGAGATGCCCACCACGAAGAACAAGTCAGTTCCTCCTTGGCCCAGGGCTGGGATTCCCAGGGAGCCACATGGGCTGTCAGCAGGGAGCAAGATACACGTGGGCAAAATCTACCAGAGCATTTCCCACGCGGAGGCGCTGGGCCGGGGGGCAGAGGGTCCTTTTCACTTGATCTGCACTCATTTGCTGTACTCTGAAAATGCCCATCAGAGGGTGGTCCAGCTCCAGCCCCGCCGCAGGGCTCTGGGCACCCATGGGTGGGACCAGGGAAAGAGACTTGTCCAGGGGCAGCCAGTGAGGGGTCCCTGTCTCTCCAAGGGTGGGGGAGGGAGAGGATGGGACATGTTGGAGGGTGCTGTGTCTCTCTGCTCTGTGTCTCAGGGGGAGAGTTTAGGGGGGTGCTGGGTCTCACTGCCCTGTGTCTCGGGGTGGGGGCATAGGGAGTGCTGGGTCTCACAGCCCAGTGTCTCAGGTGGGTGTAGGGGGTGTCTTGGAGGTGGGTTAGGGGGGTGCTGGGTCTCAGTACCCTGTATCTCGGAGGGTCACGGAGCGGGGGCTGTGTCTCACAGCCCAGTGTCTCAGGTGGGGGAGAGTTTAGGGGGGTGCTGGGTCTCACTGCCCTGTGTCTCAGGGTGGTACGGGGAGGGGTGCTGTGTCTCACTGCCCTGTGTCTCAGGTGGGTGTAGGGGGTGTCTTGGAGGTGGGATAGGGGGGTGCTGGGTCTCAGTACCCTGTATCTCGGAGGGTCACGGAGTGGGTGCTGTGTCTCACAGCCCAGTGTCTCGGGGGGGGGAGAGTTTAGGGGAGTGCTGGGTCTGACTGACCTCTCTCTTGGAGGGGCACGGGGGGGTGTGGGGTCTGACTGCCCTGTGTCTTGGTGGGGAGTTTTGGGGGGTGCTGAATCTCACTGCCGTGTGTCTTGGGGGGCGCAGGGGGTGCTGGGTCTCAGTGTCTTGGATGGGGGGGCCATGGAGTGTCACGGAGTCACCAGGGCGATGCTCTGGAACTATTTCCTATGAAGCCAGTAAGGACTCTGGGGGAGCCTCCTCTCTCTGTCTCCAGGGCAAGAAGCTTACACAGCTTCGACCTTCCCGGGTCTGACCTCGGAGCATTCAGCATCCTCTGCCCCACAGTGTACTTCCCACAGCAAGTCCGCCCAGGCTGGGCTCCTGGGGAAGCCAGAGGGCCCTGCACCCCAACTCCACAGTCAGCAGTGACTCTCAGCCAGCCGGTAAAACAGGTTTATTAGTCAACAGGAACACAGGGTAGGGCAGATCTTGTTAGCACAGAAATCAGTGACTTTCAGCCAAGTCCATCTTGCGCGGAGGGGAGCCCAGAGCCAGGGCTCTGGTCCTCCCCCTGAGTCCCAAGCCAGCCCACGGTTCTAACTGCCTGGCCCCTACCCTGCCCGCTCCTCCTCCTCAGGCCTTTGTCTCGCTTCCCGGGCCAAGAGTCACCTGGTGGCGTCCCCCTCCTGGGTCTCAGGTTACGAAGGGGTGGCCAGAGCATACATGCAGGTAGCTGGAGCAACCCCTGCAAAAGTTACACAGGCTTAATCCCACCACCTAGACATTGGTGCAATACACAGGGAAACTGAGGCACACACAGCATTCATGCAAAACTGTAAGACTCACATACAACATAACAAGGGAAAATTTTGTCACATCTCTCCCCGCTTCAAGACCAAACTGAGCGAGGTCACTTTAGCCAGTGACCTGGGGAAGTTCAGGTCTCCCTCTCCGGAAGATAGCATCAACTATAACATTTGCACTCTCCTTAACGTGGACCACCTCCCTCTCATAATCCTGGTAGGACAGACTTCACCTCAGGAGCTTGGCATTGGCCCCTCTCATCTGGTGCAGCCACGGCAGGGTGAATGGTCCGAGTAAACAGTGACACGCCGCCCAAATAGATCCAGCTGCAGCCTTTTAGGAGCCCACTCCATGGCCAGGCACTGCTTCTCCATGGCTGCACAGCCCTGCTCCTGGGACAGCAGCTTCCTGCTTAGGAACATGATGTGGTGTTCCCCCCCCCCCCTTGCATTGTGTGGGGAATCGGTGAACACCATAAAGGTCTTGTCAAAGTCTGGGTTTCCCAGCACCGGGCCCTTGACATTGGGTAAAAGAACTACTAGAGCCTCCCCTGGGATAGTGCTTGGGGTGTGCTATAGACCGCCGGGATCTAGCCTGGATATGGACAGAGAACTCTTTAATGTTTTTAGGGAAGGAAATACTAATAGGAACTGTGTAATCATGGGAGACTTTAACTTCCCAGATATAGATTGGGGAACAAATGCTAGTAACAATAATAGGGCT